ATCTAAGCTCATATTCCCCTCTTCCAATATCACATTTATTTAACTTATATATTTTTATTCTCCCAGCCCAGGATTCAAGGAGGCTTCTCTCATTAGAATTACTGAAAGGAACCAGTGTTTGATTTCCATGCTTGTTTGTTTTTTCAGCATGATTTGTTCACAATTCCAACAACAGAAGCTTGGTGATTTAAGTTACAGGATATGGCAGAGATCGACCAACTAACAAATTTAACAAACTGGAAATCAGAAGAAGAAACTGTTAAGGAATGGGGAGAAAAACTATCAAATACTGCAGAAAAAAGTTACAAGAAAAAGAAAACTACCCCTCTCCCCAAGAAGTTAACAAAGATAAAATACTAATCGGAAGTAGAATATACCTTCGTGAAGCTATCACACCAAAAAAATGTATAAATAGGAAGTACAAAATAAAAAGAAAAGAAAATATGCTTTTCTTTACTTGTAAAACTTCTCTATTCTTAGTATACATTGTAAATAAAAAACAGATGCATATTTGTTTGAAGTATATAATTTGATGGATTTTAACTTGAAATAATAATAATAATAATAATAATAATAATAATAATAATAATAATAATAATAATAATAATAATAATAATAATAATAATAATAATAATAGAATTTTAACAGGTTTTTATAAAGTTGATGATGATACTGGAAGGGCCACTTAATGCCCCGGAACCTTCCTCCTGAGCTTTTGTTTCCCAGCCAGGGGAAGAACTCTGGTCCTTTGACCGGAAGTGACGAGAGGATTTGTTGACAGCGGTCGTGTTTGGTGTGTGTGTGAGCGGCTGATGCCAAGGAGAGAAGAAGCGACCCCGGTGGGAAGCCGGGACTCCACTCCCTTCTTTCTCCGGAACCGGAACCGGAACCAGCTCCAACCCGGACCCTTTCTCACCCACGGAGCCATTGGGGCAGGTGAGTGTGTAGTAGATAGAAGGAGGGAAAGGAGGAGGTTGAACTACGCTGGAAGGTCCCCAAGGCAGGCAGCTTTTGGAGGGGAATTGGAGAGAGGAGGAAGAGGAGAGTGCAGATCCTGCGCTTCCTCTCCCTTCCCATCCTACAGCATTGGATAGCCTGGGACCCACCCTTTGCAAAGTCGGAAAACAGGAGACACCTGTGCGTTTGCAGGAGGAAGAGTTTTTGTGAATGGCCAGCGTGCAGGTACACTGAAGTG